AGGTGGTCAATGTCCTTCTGTGGTATCTCATTCCAGGCAACCACCAACTCCTTTCGAAGTGCTTCTAGAATCTGAAGAGGACGTTGCAAATTGAGCAATCTCCTACCCATCATATCCCACACGTGCTCAATTGAGGATAAGTCGGGGGATCTTGGTGGCCATGGTAACAATGTGACATCATTATGTTAAAAGAAGTCTATTGTGACTCTTGCAACATGTGGTCGGGCATTATCTTGTTGGAAAGTTGGATCTGCCAGGGTTTCAAGATAGGGTAAAAGATGGGGTTCTAGAACTTCGTGGATATAACGCTGCGCGTTCATGTTACCTCTGTTGAAGATTAAAGGTGACCTGGAACCATAAGCTATAGCACCCCAAACCATAACTCCAACAGTGTGATGAACATGTCTTTCAACAAAAAACTGTGGATTCCTCGTTTCACCACGTCGCCTTCTAACCCCGGCACGACCATCGTGCATGCCTAAACAATAAACAAAATCGAGACTCGTCACTAAAGACAATACTGTTCTATTCCTGATCCCAGAGTGACCGTTGTCTGCACCACTCAAGGCGATTACGTCGGTGTTCTCGACTTAAAGGGAGGACCCAGTGTGGCCGGTATGAAAACAAGCCAAAACTTCTCATTCGTCGGTAAACACTTCGCATGCCAACAGGTCTTCCGTGCTCTGCAAACCATTCATTTGCAATGGACCTGGTAGTGGAGAAACGGTCCCTTAAGGCCAATAATCTTAGGCGGCGATCCTCACGGTCTGTTGTTCTACGGCGGCGTCCTGTGCCCCTTGCTCTTTGCGTACGGCCTTCTCGAAGCCATGCCTGACAACACCTAACCACACTGTCTACACTTCTTTGCACTCTAACTGCAATTGCCCGAAAAGAAAGTCCAGCTTCCCGAAGTCCCACTATACGGCCCCTATCAAACTCACTAAGTTGACGAAATCGTACATGTCTCCGTACTCTAGGCATCGTAACCGATCGTAAAGGATGTCAAGAACCAAAATCCGCCAACGTTGATTCTTTACTGCGGCTGAAATATTCGTTTTTAGAGCGTTAGTGAATTAAAAAAAAGCAGTATAAAAACCGGAATGTCCAACTGATAAGGCTGAAAATTTGTTCACTTGTTATTTACAGTAAGATAAATATATTCACCAACTTTTATTAAAATAAAACCATTTAAATTGGGTGTTCGGATTTATATGTCACTTAGTATATTATTAACTGCGGCTACATTGTTCTATTACATTTATTTACATGGAACAACTAGAATCGGCAATTTCATATGTATATGCCCAATAGCATACTAATTCAGTTCTGAATACTATTAGATGATGCTCGCTACCCTAAAAATACGAATTTACAGAATTGTCAAAAAACTAACTGATTTTGGAGACAAACAAATCGTAGACTTGCTGTTTCTACAAAGTCTGAATTCGTTGATCTTTATAAGGTACCTTCCTCTGATAGAGATGAAAACGCTCTGAGAACAAAGATAGTTCTGATTAATTTTGAAAAAATAACAAAAGCCCATGCATCGGCCGGGAATCGAACCCGGGCCGCCCGCGTGGCAGGCGAGCATTCTACCACTGAACCACCGATGCGATATATTCAAATTTCACATACTTAGCAATTCACAAGATAATTATATCATAAAAAGTGTTCAGATTAGACAGGATTTATCGACTTTGGCGTCTGTAAAGAGTCGGATGTAGAACGAATCGGTGAGTCGACTCGTTAGGCTGGCCGCCGACAAATCTGAACATTTTGTTTCAAGACAATTTGTTTCTGAGCAAGTACGTAAAAGATCTATGGAACGTCAAAAAACTCGGAAAAATGTTAACTTTTTTACACTAGGAGCCATTAGTTCATTCCAAGGCCTACTACAGCCTGAGAGGCCTTTTGCAAATTCAACAAACCTTGGACAACTGAAAAATTGGATTGACAAACTTTCTTTAAGCTCTTGATAACAGCTGTGGTGCCCTGGTATTTGGGCATCTGCAAACACACTAAGGGTGGCGAGCACCAACTAAGAGAATTCAAAACTAAATTAGTATGTTGCTCTAAATGTATAAAATTATGGAATTCATGGGTTCTGTATATGAATTATGGGATGGTATTTTTAATATTGTTGCTACACTGTTCGGCTACATTTATTTGTACGAGGGATGTCTTTTAAGTTTTGCATATGGAAATAAAACAGCACGTAGGTTGTTTTAAATGACTTTATTTTTTTTTCGAAGTATTCTCCACGAAGATTAGTACACATCTGCATGCGAAGCACTTATTCCACTCGTTTGCTGGCAGATCCAAAACGGCATTTTTGAATGCGTCAACTGCTTCTTCTGGTGACTGAAACCTTTGACCACGCAGTCGGTTTTTAATTTTCGGGAAAGTAAAGAAATATCGGGACTATATGGAGGATGGTCCAATAAGTCCACGTTTTCTTCCGTTAAATACTGCTTGTTTTTTGGGCTGTGTGCGAGCTTGCATTGTCTTGGTGGAGGATGATTCTTCTTTCGGGGTTGATTTTTCGAAGCTCCGTGATGACTTTTGGCAAACAAATGGTGGTATACCAATCCGCAGTAACAGTTCTTTGCTCATTAACAGGAATTGTTGCAATATGACCCGCTTTTGACACAAATGTTGAGACCATCTTTTTCGAAACACTTCGAGAACGGATGACTTTTGATGGCTTTTCTTCACCTTGGAACACCCAAACAGCCAACTGTCGTTTATTTTCTGGTTCATAACAGTAAATCCACGATTCATCACCACTAACAATGCTGTACACATTTTTTGAGTTTCCGGAATTGAAACGGTCAAGCGTTTTTGACACCAATTAACCCTGGCTACTTTCTGCTCTTCAGTCAACAGGTGGGGTATCCAACGAGAAACTAATTTTGTTACTCCTAATTCTTCATGTAAATTTTTTGAATTGAGGTCTACGAGATCTTCAAGGACGCCTCAATCTCGCGATATGTCACATGTCTATCTTCAATGTTGAGTTTGCGCATAGCATCGAGGTTTCCTGGTTGACCGTTTTTGGTGCACCCACCCCTGGGATCGTCGCTAAGACTCACCCGTCCACGTTGGAATTCTCCATACCCAACGGGAAATTGTCGACTGATGTGGCGCTTCGTTGACGAAAACAGACAATAACTCAGCAAGGCATTCTTGTTGCGATAATTGTCTCTGAAAGTTGTAATAAATTATGGCGCGAAAATGTTATCGGTTGAGTTCCATTTTTCTAATGACTTGGTGACACTTAAAAATTCACTGTAGTGAGAACACTGGACGTATTGTTGTGAATTCAAGTTTACTAAAGAGTGAGGTTAAGATTCAGTACTAACGTTCGATCCGCGCGGCCTACTATGTTTCTATATGCAAAACTTAAAAGACATCCCTCGTATATGGAACAACTAGAGTCGCCAATTTTATATATGTTCAGTAGGATACTAATTTAGTTTTGAATACTATTGGCTGGTGCTCGCCACCATAAAAATACGAATTTACAGAATTATGAAAAAATTAACTGATGTCAAGGCTACTTATAGTAATTTCATCCTGACTACGTCTGACCTCTGATAGAGATAAAATCGCTCTGAGCAGAAAGAAAGTTCTGATTAATTTTGAAGCAATTGACAAAAACCGTATGCATCGGCCGGGAATCGAACCCGGGCCGCCCGCGTGGCAGGCGAGCATTCTACCACTGAACCACCGATGCGATACATTCTAATTTGACATACTCGGCATTCGAGCAGTACACAAGATAATTAAATCATAAAATGAATGTTGAGATTATACAGGATTTATCGACTTTGGCGTCTGTACAGGGTCGGATGTAGAGCGAATCGGTGAGTCGACTAGTTAGACCGGTCGCAGACAAATCTGCACATTTTGTTTCGAGACAATTTGCTTCAAGATAAAGTGGTTCTATCTGCGGCAGGATTATTAAGTATTAATGTTAAAAACACTCGGTGTCAACTTTTTCGCAATAGGTGCCACTAGTACATTCTGAAGCTACTACTACTACTACCTGATTATGCTTTTCCCAATTCTACTAACCTTAGATAGCTCAATCAGATTAATAAGTAGCATTGAGGGTTTTCCCAATATCCAGTAATATTGCTCTTAGTGGAGGTTCAGTTCTTCCCTGTTGGTTGATATAGCTCACGTGAGGACAAATATTAGTGGGTATTTATTGCGTGCCTTCTCAAAAATCCGTGTTTTCTAGATAAAACATCCGTAAAACTAAAACATACTATCTCGAATTATATTTATATTTCATGAGTGCTTCATCCATCTGTTGTACTGAGAAGTCCTTTAAAGAAAGTGTAAAGCAATCTACAATGCTTTTCCAGTTGTTGGGTTCTGAGAAAACAGTTGTAGTAACTAGTATTGCTGTCGAGAATTTAGCTACTACTCCTATATACGGAAGTGTTCCAAGTGAGTTTTACCAACGTCATGCACGATTTTTATATCTTCAATCCACGGTTCTCACCCTTTCCGCATATATGAACTGGGGTGATAGCAGGGTAGGTATTAGGATTTTTGACTTTACGGATAATAACCCCCTGAAATACTTATGTGTCGCAGCAGCTGCCCTGGAGCTGTATTGTTGCAATAGGAAAAGTATGGGTTGGGGATATTGATCCTTATTGGATTAGAGGAGTAGCAGCCCTATTGAAAGGTGTTTACTCATACAGCTTATCTATATCTCACGAAACTACAACCTCGTGACAAAATACATTATTAACCGTATTCTAGAATGTGAGTAAGCCAGCTTTCTATGAGCTACAACTACGTCTTACTTGTCTCGATTAGGTATTTTGGGCAATAAAAGTGTACCGAGAGATAAGTTTTGGATTGCTAGTAGGATTTCATCTTATTTTTCAGTTGAAGTATGCAGGGCTGTCAAATGACCATTTAGAAGCCTCACTTCACATCCTATTGTTAAAGTATAAGTGCACTAATCTTTTTTTTTTCAGGTGAGTAACCCCATGAATAATCTGGGCGATATAGGGTAAGTATTAGAATATATAACGTATATAGATGTTCCATCTTCCATCAGCTGTCATTGACGCCAAATCATATGCGATTGTTTTGATTTTTACAAAGCTGAATGTGTCAGTCCTAGTATCTTTTGTAGACTTTGAGCATTATAAACGGTGGTACATTTAATATTTGAAATCTTAATCGACTATGAAAAAGAACGAATATTTTTTCAAATGTTTGCTTTAATTGGAAATGTTGAACGTTGACTGTATTTCAACTACTTTTTCGACTTGTTTTGCTTAAATTTCTTGAAAAGCAACTTCGATTACGTGTTTCAAGGCCTTAATTGTCTCTAAATGGTGAGCACTTATGCTCAATTGCCAAAAAATAGTCCAACGGACTTAAATCGCAGCTTCGATGTGGTTAACTGAAATCAAAATTTCGACTGGTTGTTTGGACCATGACAACAAAAATTCATTGTGCATGATTCGGTGACGCTCCCCATTGAAAGAAATGGTACTTTCGAAAAAACCGCACCGGTCACCGTTGTCGATGCACCGACTCCTATTTAATGACTTGACTGAGTTTATTGAATTTTTTAAGTAATTTTCTCACATTTTACATTAAACACTAACCCCTTGGAAGTAAGTTTTCAATATTTCCCAATTTTCTTGAAGCGTATTGCGTCTCATTTCGAAAGTCCCGAACATATAACTGATATTCTGACACGTCAAAATAACATATCAGCATTCGATTTCAACATAACCGCTAGTTCAAATGTATATGCTCTATAAACCAGGACCCTAAAATCTTGACTAAATTCGGAAGCGGTTCGGTCCTTGCTTTTCGATCTATTTAAGGAAAAAAATATACACTATGGGTATAAGAGGTTTCTTTTTGAATTGGCCCATCTCAAACATGGAGGGCAGAAAACTTGAAGTTAACTTTGGAAATACAGTATAGGATGTGCATCCTGTTGAGCAGGGTGTCCCTCAGTGATCTGTTTCAGACCACTGCTATTCAACTTATATCTAATTGATTTGCCCAGTCACATCTCTGAGGGGCATTGCATATGACACCAGACTATATCTGCAAAGTAAGACTATTGCAATAACTTTTTTCATCCATCGCATAATCCGTATAGAACTAGATATGTATGACCGTATTTTATCTGACTCTTGTAAATTATTTGGCACATATTTTGATAGCAGACTAAATTTTCAGAAACTTGTGTTTGTAAAAATTTAATTAAAGCATATTTTGCTTTACTGCAGAGAAGAGACTTTCGAAACGAAAAAGTCCTAGTGAATATATTATATTATGCATTGGCCTACATCCACATATCTTAGAACATTATGGGAAATCATGTTAAACCAAAATAGTTTTTGTGGCACAAAAAACAATTATCAGATTAATTTTTGGGATGAAGCCACTTGACTCGATGGAAATTCTACATTCATTTTGAAATGCATAACCTATGTTAAGAAATATAATAGTTTATTTCCAAATATCACCTATTTCAACTGCGTCATATTATTCAACCAGTTACTATGCTGCAATCACAAAAGAAGTTAAGAAATTATACATGATAATAATATACATATTCAAATGTGTATCAAGTGTATATGAATAAAGAATAAACAATACATTATCTTACCTTCCCTATAACATAAAAAACGTAATGAGCTGTACCATGGCTTCATAGCAAAATATCCATTCAGTAATCAACAATGGTTTGGTTTAAGTGCCCTTTAACCCTCCCATTTCTCCACCTCCTTCCCTCACTTACACATGAGCTAATGGCGGCTGAACACGATAACGCTATCATATCATAATCGTAAATAAAAGTGTCTCGACTTTACGCCCGCCATTTTCAACGAATAAAACCCCACGTTCAGGTGGAAAACTCAATTACGGCGATACCCGCCTCAACGATGTGACAGGCAGTGGTGTGCGAAGCTGAATTTCAAGTAAAATGGTATGAGAATTTAGTTTACACTATGTTACTACGAGTATTACACAACTGAGGCGTCACAAGGCGTGTAAGTTAAGGGGTAATATCACTGTAACGGCCTAAAGAAAAAGTATTACGTTGGCATGTCCCTTTTTTTAACAGACTGTTTGGAGCAGAATTCTGAATCATTTTCATCTGAGTATTTCATATTATATGGTGCATAGAGGTGACTAAAAAGTATTGTTAACAATTTTTTTTATTAGAAAAAATGCATTTCTGTGCATTTTAATGCGCATTTTTTCTTCAGTCGTAACTTTTGTTAAGAAATATTAGTTCAGCTCTGAAAGTGTGTCAAAATTCCACTGTTACAGTAGAATCGAGCGGCTGATTATTTTTATTTTTATCCATTTTTCTCTACGAAAAGTCTTTGATTTTTTTCAAACCTCATTTTGCAGCAAATTTTGTTCTCAAGGAAAGCAAAGATTTTTGAAAAGAGAAAGTAATTACCTGCCCAATTCTTACGTAAAAGTGAAATATTCACATACAATTTTAGAGTTTCAGTATTATTTTGATTGAAGAAAAAATGCACAAAACGCATTTTTGACAAAAAAGAAACTGATACCATTGTTTTTCACATCATGAAATAATTAGACGAAAAGTGTTGAGAATACTTCTCCGGGCAGGCTGTTGAGAATAGCGATCTACGACGTTAGATAGTAACTGGTAATGTGATAACAACATTGGAGGAAGTTATTAATATTAAAAATGGCGGCTTCGCATTTTTTTTTTTCGAAAAGACGTTTTTAACTGCATACTCGAACATTTTCATTTTTTCGCTTAAATTTTTTAGAATATCCTTAAAATAACATTTTAATCCCAGTTTGTGGGCCTCTCTATGAGTTGTGGACCTCGAAATTCTGCTTCCAACAGGGTCACTCCACAGAGCACTTAATTGTAAATAATTGGCACGCCTGTTTTTCACGATTATTCTTCTTAATGCTCATCGGTCGGCATTTGTGGTATTACTTTTTTTCACATATCGTGGCTTAATATTAACCAGTTACGTTATATCTTCTAACAATATTTCTCACACTGTACCGCGATAAGTTTAACAAAGTTGCAATTTCTGAGATTGATTTCCCAGAATTAAAAAAATTAATTATCAGTAACCGAATTTTCTCACTAATAAGCTTTCCTCTACCCATTTTGAAAACCTTAACTACCCAAAACTATTTTAAACGTATTCTGACAGCTGTGATTAATAAAAACAATTGTCATGGCTTTCATTTTTCACAGCCACCTATGCGTTATAGACTTATTTTGCATTGAAATGAAAATAGGTTGATATGCTGTAATTGCAACATGTGTTATTTTTATGCTGCAAATTTGATTAGGGAGTGATAAAGTTGGTGTTTTCTACTATATATTATCAAAATATTCATTGTTAATACCTTAAACCTAAAACACCCTGCTACTACATTTTTATTATTTGTGTTTGATAAGAAAAAACTGATATTTCAATTGTTGGGCCAACTGAAGTGGGAAGGGGCTTGTACGTTTCCAGATGCATTACTGGTAGGGTGGGGAAAGACTGTCTCTTGACTAAATGTATGGGCCTGTATGACTGACCTTTATCTCAGAGGATCTAGTTCGTGCCGAGCATAATCCTTTATGAAGTAATAGCGGCGTTGCGTAGGAAGTGCAGAGTCAACCTACTTGTCGCCATTTCATTTGTCAAAAATAGAACGTTTTAATTGAAATACAGAATTCAATATTTTTAAATACCGGAATCATATTTAGAACAGATTTGTGATAGAAATAACGGCGTAATTTCAAATTTAAAAAACAGTCAATCTGTATGATTCGCCTTAGGTGATCCACTCTGCAAGTACGAAAAATCCAGAAACCTCTCGCCGTGAGGATTTCATGTTCCTATAAAGAGTTCCACCTCTTTGCCGCGTTTCAACATTGTAGTAAAGCGGCGGGATCCAGCCATGCTGATAGCTATAAAATTCTTAATTTACGAGAATGATGATGTTTTATTGTGTTATCGTAGAGAGCGGGCTTTGGGCTCTCTCACACAGCACAACACTTGATGGGTTTGTTGAACCAAAATACAAAAAAATAAACAAAAAATACCGACAGCGCTCACCGTTGCGTCGGTGTGGATAGTAGTCCGATCGTTTGGTGTTTGAAAAGGGGTTGCCTGAAAAGTTTTGGATAAGTTTTTCCTTAAAATTGGATGAGTTCTTAGAGCAACTTCTATGACCCTAAGAGCTCAGCACATGCGAAATCTAGCGTCGCTTACTTATGTTGTCCTTCACGGTATACAAGTTTTAGTTTAGATGACTGAACTATTCCTCCTCAAGGATAAATATTGAAATATATGAATTTAGTATATTGTCTCGAATTTAATTTATGACACACCTTTTTTCTTAAAGAGGGTCGTATATGTTCCAGAAAATTATTTTTGGGTCGGAAAAGAAAAGGTAAGAAGAAGATAAGAATCGAGCATATGAGGATATCAGGTTTTCAGGACTGCCCAAATAAATGTACCATATGACTAAACTATAATTCCAGCGTTCATACTTTTATTGTTCGTTCCTTTTTACCGATTTTTATTTCCCTATTTTTCCTGTCTGTCGAAATCCGCTGTATTTGGTTGCCGAAAGCAATTAACAGCTTTTTGGATAACAAACTCTTGAATTTGAGCGAAAAATTGCACTGTGGACGTTGATATTGTCTGCGCTAGGTTTATTGAATAATGGTTTTGTGTCTGTCCACTTGTCGTTTTCATTGAATTAAAGTAGCCTACATGACATCGGACTACATTTGATGTTCGTTTTATTTTTTTGCGTTACTTAGCTACTGAATGTGTGCGGTTCATGTAATTGGCCATCTTAACTGAAAAATGTAATTTTACTTCTTTCTATTTATCCAGCTTTTTTAGAAATGATTTTCTTTTTCTTTTTAGTTAAGGCGATATTAGGACAAACTCTCCAAATGAACAGACCAACATTTATCTCAGTAAGACAAAGACATGTATTATTCCGTATTCAAAATTCTCTAACCAATGAACGGGATGAAAAAACTGATGAATTCCAAACCATCCAACAGAAAATCCCACTAATAAGCGCAGATTTGTATAAACCGGAACCCGCCAACGCAACCATTCGTTAATTTTTTCCAAGATGAATTTAATAGATAGTTAGCCGTGGAAAGAAAAGTAACAATGGAACATCGCTGACGGACGAGACAGAGACAATCGAAGCTCAGCCCAGCTCCTCCAAAACAAAAGACGAGTCTTGACTCCTGTGGGTAATTTTTTTATTATCCTTTGTCGAGGCGGCAGACTGGGTTCGCACACTACGCCGGCTCATTTGTTTCGCGCTTTTTGTGAGAAATGGTCTTTGTAGAAAAAAACGTAGAATGCCAGTGGGCTACTAAGGGAATCGCAAATGTATTAATACTAGATTAGATTTACTAATAATATGTGTCTGTCTGTCTCAGAGTCACAGTTAAACTTCAAGTCGACGAACAATTTATTTAAGTAGTAGTGCCGGGAAGGGAAAAGGGACGAGTGTTTTGGAAATTTAGAAGAAAACAAAAGCAGAAGAATGAAAACACACATCACTTGGCATATCTCTCATTTTAAGTGCAGACTTATCGAATAGAAAACAAGTTTTAACAGGCTTATTTTGTACAAAGCTCAGATAATATTCGGCTAGCATCTACTTGACCTATCACGACGATATCAGTTTTTCTTGTTTTTTTTTGCTTCCTACGATAACTTCTCACTGACACTTGAAAAGTAGAATAAAACCTTTTTGGGTCTTACTGTAATGGTAATCTAGCTCCAAAATTTGATAGAATCTGAATTGCTTTTACTTCGCACGACATTGGCAATTTGAATGAAATTATTAATTTTTTGGATGTTATATAACAAGTACATCACGAAAACATTTTCGTCGGTTTGTCTCTGTATCTGTCGGACTGTCTGTTTGTCCACTAACCCTTGATCTCCATATAACTTGGACAATGCTTCTGCTATGCCAAAAACAAAGTTATGGGCAAACAGGGAAAATCATTTTCAGAAAAAAATTACTTGTGGTTGTAAGTTGAAGATCTGGGGTTGTGGGGGGGATTTTGCTTCTTTGGTATCACGGGAAGACGTTTTAATAGCGAGTCGTTTGTTTATTCTATACTACCCACCTGTTAAACTGTTAAACACAATATCACACATGTCATCAGAACTTAAATTGCGCTATTTTGATTTTCCACGCCTATTGGAGGTATAATCGCGAAAAATTTCGAAAATGAGATATTATGTTTTTTGGGTGTTATAAGACATGTACATTACGAGAAACCAATTCACTCATTAAACACACCGATACTACTGAGCCGAGAGCAAAAAAGCTAGGGACAAGAACACGAACAAAAAAATAAAAATCGCTGTTTCAGAATATACTCCTTTAAACGTTGCGATGCGTGCATAGTCTATCTACTTGACGCTATTTTTTGCCTTCTACCCAACTGAGCAGGTATGCGGGCCTTCAAGGTACATGCACAAACTACTCAATGCCCACGCTTTGTCTGTCAGGAAATAGTAGTAGAAGTAATGTCTGACACCCTGAAATCTTGGACCATAACATTAATTTTGTCACCGTCTTAACTTTCTAACATTGTTCTTATTTTCCTTGTCTTCCACATCTCACTCCTATCATGCAACCTCTTTTCTCCACAAAATGATTATTCAGCTGAAACTGAAAAGCTGCTGAAAAAAAACCTACGTCGTGAAGAGAGGTGATTATGTAGGGGAACGCGGCAGCTTCGTACTGGATGTTTTATTGAAAAGTTGAACTTGGCAATTTTTAATCTCGCGAACCATGGCTGTTGCTCTCGAAAGGCGTTCTCACAAGAATGGCCCCAACTCTGACGTTAACAATAAATGAATATTAGCCCGCTCCGGAGCTAGAAACCGGAGCTTCGGAGTTGAATGCCGGGCGGAACGCTGCCGGATTCTCATTAGTTTATTCACATTTCAGGACCTTCGAATATACGTGAAGGAGAGGTGAGTAAAGGTCCATTCACACTCAGCCGTGACGTGACAGTGCCGTGACGTGCCAGTGATTCTCGCTGACGTGAGCTCACAGTGCTTTCAATTCACACCGGTCAGTATTTTTCTCCGTGCTCTGACAGTGCAGTAGTGTTCACGTGAGGTCGAAATAGCAAAATTTGAAGAAGAAGAAACGAGAAGAAAACGGAAGTCCATGTATTTTGAATTTGACTGGTTCTAAAGCACAAGATGTGCGCGCACAAATTCAATTAGTTTTTCATCATTCATGTTTTTGACCAAATATATCAAAACATTCACGAAATTACACCCAATTTATGTAACGCTTCCTTTCCACAAAAAGTCCAGAAAAGATGGAATGCAATGAAGATTCCAACTTTTCTGCACAATCACAGAAAGGGGGTTACCATTAGCTTCCGGTAGCTCAGTCGGTGGCATGAAGACATCTACAGGCGTGTAGCTGTGTGTCGTCCATGGCATGGCTAGAGGATAGAAGAACAAACAGAACACACAAATTTAACAGATTTTATTTAACAAAAAAGCATTTTCATTACATTACAATTTTAAATTTTAAACAACAAAATAAGTTTTAAATCTTTGGCGCTGCTATAAAACTATACACTTATCTTTCGCTGGTCCATTTTTGACCGGACTGAAGCGAGGATGGCCAGGCGCTTGAAGTGGAGGTCCTAGTTATGAGGGGTGACCTCACATTTAGTGGCTTCAGAACTAGATGTAGGCGAAGTTGAAATTAAAGGTGATGGCGCTGCCAAGGCACATGCATGGGTGAAGTGATAGGCCAAGCAATGCAAAGTCAAAGACAAAGGCAAAAGCAAAGACAAATGCAAAGGGAAAGGGAAAGAGAAAGGGGGTGGCCCCAATCATCTTGTCCTATTCGGACACACATTCTACAAAATTCTAGCACATGGTGCTATATGACCTCATACTACAGAGAACAAAATTCTTAGCTCTTGTTCGATCGGCGGCTCTGACAGTGCAGTAGTGTTCACGTGAGGTAGAAATAGCAAAATTTGAAGAAGAAGAAACGAGAAGAAAACGGAAGTCCATGTATTTTGAATTTGACTGGTTCTAAAGCACAAGATGTGCGCGCACAAATTCAATTAGTTTTTTATCATTCATGTTTTTGACCAAATATATCAAAACATTCACGAAATTACATAAAAACACGGCCGTGAAAATCGGAAAATATCGTTCCAAAACAATGCGATGATCACGGTACGGCGTCGTCGAGGGCACTGAGTACACGGCCACTTTCAGGTGCCGGTCTAGTGTGAATCAGTTCATCCAAATTGCAGGAAGAATCTTTTTAGTTTCGCCGGGCGAATCACGTGCCGGTCACAGCACTGTCACGTCACGGCTGAATATGAATAGGCCTTTAAGCTGCGTCCTCACGGAGCGCGGCACGCTAGCGTGATTCTCGCGTTCGTGGAGTCGCTTCTGTCTGAACGTGAGTTTTAGAGATGGCCGAAATTTTTGAATATCTGTGATATCTGATATTACATTATACTTCGAAGTTGAGTCATTTATTTTAACAGTGAGTAGATCTGATCAAAAGAAATGTTTTTTTCCTTTACCATTTTTCTGGTAAAATTAAAGTAACAAATTTATAGCCCTTTGGAAGTTTGAGTACCGCCCTGTCTCAATAATAATATTATGTGCTCGTGTTTGGCGACAACGGATATAATCCGCCTTATCGGTTCATCGCATCGGAAACAAAAAAGCGAAAGAATTTGGAACGATGTTTTTACAATTATTTCATTTAGTTGTATACAGTCAGTGTCAGTCGGTAGTGAATAGTGGTGTCTGTTGCGTGGCTCAAACGAAATAAAAAATGGCACATGTTTATGCGGATCGGTTTCCCAATCGAGTGCAACCAACCCCTCGTGCCTTTGAAATACTTGTCGGGAGGATACTTTATAAAACAAGGTAAAATTTTTTTTTCAATTTTTTTTTTATTTTTACACACATATTTTAGTTTATTTTCCTTCTACAATCATCTGAAAATTAATGACTCAACTTCAAAGTCACCCTGTATATATTATACATAATTTCATTATATATATATATACTGATATCCTAAGCAAAATACAGCGATGAAAACGCATGGAACACTAAAGCATATACGGCAGGATATATCAATCTACGTGGTTCTCAACCTGCCCGCTAACATACCACTAAAATCAGACAACAAAAGAGCACAAATATTAATGAGAAGCTCCCTCATGGTCGGATTCATGGAATAAACTGAATCGTGATCGTGTGAATAGTTCACTTTTCACTCCCCTGTAAAATACTCACGACAGAGAGATCGAATGAGTGTCACGCTGTCTTTTTACCCTACGTGGCTTCAGAATAGTGAGGAAGCGTAGAAAATAGAGCAAAATCGCTTTTTATTTAGAGTATATATTATATGTGTTAGTTTTTGTTCCTCCGCGTATACAGAAATTTGCGAATTTTTTTTGTTACGTCGATATGTTGCTCATTTCTGGCCTGTTGGTATTTTTTAAGTCGCGTAACTCAAGACGTTATCTCAAACACAGCAAAAATATCATGGTCTGTCAGTGGGTTTTTGGGTCATGAAAATAATTTAAAATATATGAATTTCAGGTCTTGATTGTTTTTTAAAAGTCCAAGACATTGTCTAAAATTCCCAATTTCCAAAAACTTAACTCACCATTCAGATATGAGCGTATGCTCGCAACATTTTATATTTCAAATCTATAGTAAAACACACCAAGCCGCATATAAAGTTGCGCTTACAATAAAAACAAAATTTGAGATCTTTTTATAATTATGTTAAATTGTCTGAAATGTTTTTTTATTCTCATTATAACTGCGTGTTCATGTGTTTCAGTTTTTGTTTTTGTTATGAGCCCAAAGGAGCAACACTTCCATGTTCATATATGATTTTGTCTCAGTGTGTTTTATTACAGATTTGAAGTAGGTGAACTACTGCGACTATGTCCTTATATAAACACATTGAGTTCATTATTCGACGTTTGATGAATTTTGGATAAATACTGACCGAGCTTAAAATACATATGAACTGAAATATTCAAACGCAAAAATTCTATGGATCAGAATTTTGAGCTATTTCAGCGCCTTAAGGTTGTTACTTTATTTCTGTAAATCAATGGAGTCGTCGCAGAGTTTTGAGCAGAAGAAATTTCGGTTTTGTATTTTCTAAAACTTTTCGACAATTATTGAGAAATTTGGGATGAGGCGAAACTTTTTTTAATTTGTTTTCATCACTTTCGAGTTTCTGATAACATGATCTTAAAAAAATTAGTCTTGGGCGCTCTGGTTAAATCATTTTTTCTGTAAGTTGCTGTAATTATCTCTCTAACTACCACTCTATTTTTACGATGTTGCTTTCCCAAGGATAACGGGATTAACATCCTGTAAGGTGAAAAATAAGGAAAAATAATTCAAGGCGGTTTTTGGAGCGTGTTAAAGTTGATGTAATTTATAAGGATTATCTATTTCACCGCAGGCGAGGTAGCGGCACAAGTACATGAGCGATATTTGGGTTTAGATTATAAATGATGAGCCGTTTTTCTTCGATGATGACAAATCTCGATTATATACCGAACTTTCATTATACTTGTAGAGCGAATGAGAAACAAACACCTCTGTTAAATCTATTAGGTTATGTAAGATCCAGATAGACAACCCAAGATATTTATAAAAGCTTTGAGGCGTAAAAAGTGAGGGGCTGGAGGAGGGTATACGGAAATATTTTGCCGGTGGTATACTTATAAATTTCTAACCCTTGTAATTCTACGCACTCACTAGGAATATTTCACACATATATTTTCCCGTATATTGGCCCTTAAGACTTCGAATGCGTAAAGACATTTTCAGCCATGCCGAGCAAATATCCTCGAATTTGTTACCTGAATAGCTGAGATGCGGTCATCAACAACGTCCCGCCGATGCGACGCGAGTATGAAGGTATATTGTAGAATCACGAACCTCATCTGTATTTAGTAGCTTTACATGACCAGATGAGGGTTTCCATAGCTGGTAAAGATGCTAGAGCGTAAGAAAGTTTAGTTAGATACTATACACCGTGCTTATTTCCATAATTCCATTGTTTACCAAATCAACAATATTTTCTTAACTTATGTACATGGATTTTTATGGTTGGCGAACAATAAACATATACAGATCAAGTTAATTAATGAATGAATGAATGAGCCAGCGCATAGGCCGCATAAAACGGGCGCTTATGAAGCTCTTCATTCCTTAGACCTCAAGCCTCGCCATTCTAGCGAAGTTGAGTATGGCCGATATGTAAGTAAACAAGATGACTATAATATGTTAGTTATATGTTCTTCACTTCGCCTATACCATAAATAAGAAATAGTATGGTTGCAATAAAGTAGAATCACGTAACAGAATAGTTGTATAGTTGACACAAACTGAATCTTGCACTGACGCAAATGTAGCGACTGCAAGAGGCTTACACTTCTGTTGTATAACTGTTACCTGTAGCCCTTATACAACCTCTTAAATGACTGAAGTGTCCTATTAGGTGTGCCCATTCCGTTTGTATAGCTGTTCTAAGAGGGTTTTGCCAATGTTCTTACAGTATACAATGCTGTGTAAGGAATACTGTATAATCATTCTTGCAACTCTAATAGGAGTGATAATTGTTAGTTGGGTGGACTTCAGTATAGTCTGCCTGTAGTCGCTCAGAGCTTCACAGTGACATAGAATGTGCGCCGAGGTCTCTTTCTCTACCCCGCCGCGATCACACAAGGGATCCTCAGCCACGTGCAGGTGGCGCATTAATATGTTATGGCCAGACAACAGTCCCTCCAGCAACCTTAGGTTGGCTGTATCCAGAGATGTCTGGAGATACTCTCCATTTCTGAGTGTTGTCCTGCAATCCGCGTCTCCATTTTCCTCCTAAGTCTTTGCGAGGGCACAGGGCTCAGGACAGCGTCCGCCGTCTCATTTGCACCTTATACCAGCATGCCCCTGTACCCACATTAAGGATAAACTTAGATACATGATGTAAATACAAAGTCCATTTCCCCAGAATTCATTATGTGGAAATGTCTGAAAAAACAATAAATAGCATCTTCTTGTCTTTGGAGATGAATGAGGAATGTATATGATCTCTTCGATTATCCTGTGACGTATGAGTAGTAGTCTATCCGTATTCGACGATTTGACGTTGGAGTAGGTAAAAAATGTCGCCAAAAGAAGCTATGTGCTGCAAGGTAGGCAGACGGCGAAATCAACGCGCAGACTAGACAGTTTTTTTTGTTCCAAATTCGCCGAAGCGATTCGCTTTGATGGGATACAGCAACGTTTTCGCGGTGCATGACGAAAAACAAGTTGGAATCGAGTCAGCCGAGACCTGACGAAACCGGTGACTGGACGGAGTATGTTTTTGTTTCAACGGACATTGATGTTCCGGCGGCTCGGAGATCAAGATCAGGGACGGCTTAGGGACGTCGATATCTCCAAGTTTTTATAGCAAACACAACATACAAGAAGCTACTTCTTTATTCTGATATAGTCGCGAAGACAGAACTCAAATACCGACTAATGCGGATTTGCGAAGTTAAAGGTACCTTAAAGTAGTGGAGCGAAGTGCCTAAGGTTAGCACAGCCCACAGAAGATAACACTCAAGAAGCGGGAGCTGTACGTTAAATGATGTCAACACCGTTGACGTTTGTGAGATTTTTTCCTGGAGATCTGGAGGAACTATCGAAAGAATGCCAAGAATTGCGCTTGGAATAGGGAATACCAGGAGTGTGACGGAAATTTCGTTCAAATCTTAATAATTCTTAACATTTTAAATAAATGCTGTCACCACAACCATCTCTTCCAACAAAAATCTCCAACAATTGACGATAGAGTCTCAGCAAGATTTCACTGATATGCAACATTGTTTCATGGCTATCAGGTTATCCCTTAACACCACAAAGTCTCAGTCGCTTGTGATCAGTACTCGACCAACCACACAATAGTGAATGGACACAACCATTTAAATTCCTTGGTTGTCACTTTGAATCAAAATTGCGAAGCTCACATCAGTTCATTGACAAAAAAAAACTGTCAGCAATAATGAATCTATTTAGGAGCTTGGATAACCACCTATGTAAAAAAAGGTTAATAACAGCGTAGGTATCATGCATATTTTCAATCCAAAATTCATTATTGTATATTAGTGTGGGTTGATTCGTCACATGCTTCAAAAGTGTTCTCGGTTCAAAGGCGATGTTTGAGATAGGTAATATGAATTTCAGAGATTGCTGTAAGTAGGCGTTTATTAATTTTGGATTAGTATATATACTGGAATGTTCATTGTATGTTAAACAAAAAACTATAATGATTCTAAAGCCCCTAAAGATTCGCACAAATACAATACCAGATTTAACAACTACATCGTTCCGGATTATACCAGGCTTTCTAAGACTAGATGTGGTAGGAATTACTACGGCGCAATTTTTTTTTAATGTGCTTTCTCAGTTTTGTAGGAATCTTGATGACAGGGCTTTTAAAAAGACTGCAAAAACGTACCTAGTAACTAAAGATTTTGATAGTTTAGATGAGCCTTTCGAAAATGATCTAGTGACATGTCATTAGTGATACCTCATATCGTTGTTCAGTGTGTTGTGCATTTATTGAGTTTTGTCTGTTCATTACTAATTTTTTTATCTGTAATTTTATCTTTATTCATTAATCTAAATTCTGTTAGGGTTATAACTTGAACTGTTATATTTTTGTTATCAATTTTGTTACCTATGTGTGTAAGACTTGTAGGGTTTGTTTTTTTATATACGTATTATCATTTATTTTTTAGTTCATTTAACTTTAATATTACTGACTTACTAACAAATTACCACAACTACTACTACTACTACTACCGCTCCTTCTACTTCTACTAAATGTGCCCTTCCCCCTTGCGGGCGCCCATGGCACTGGGGTTTCCTCATGTTCTCTGCAGAAACGACATGTGACCTCTTCCGCCAGGTTTAAGAGCCTCATATGGCGATTTTGGTCGACAGTGTCCTGTTAAGAGATTCACCATAGCCCTTATGGCCTTTATGTTAAATCCGAGTAGGTCCTCTGTAAATGCTGGTTTCGTCCTTTTTACTTGCCTTTGCCCTGAGTGGCTGTTCTACCATTCTAGGGGCTTTTTTAGTACAGTTTCTTATAGATTGTTTGATGCGTGTTCTCACCATGCCACAGAAAAGGTCTCCGGGCATATAAGACGGGTGGCTGCGCGCTGTCAGATAGTCAGTCATCTTGTCCTGTATGCATTTAATGTAATAGCCGATCATTTCAGGTTTTTTGTCGGAACTGAAGCCGTTGCCAGTCTCTTTCGTACAGCTTACTGACACTAAACGTTAAAAGGTATATTTTCCAAACTTCATTTTCTAAGAAACAAATACCCAACGATATTCACTTAACTGAATTCAAATCCTAATTGCAATCCTCATATCAAGTAACCTACGAAATATCGATTTTAACATTGAAAAGCCATTATATGAACGGTGGAAGTTAGCCTGGAATACAGTCAGATTTTGAACATAGTGCCAATGAAATCCTATGTTTACCCTGATCTCAAGGCCTAACCGTCGAACAAAAAATTTGAATTGCAGATCTACCTGGTCATTCCTTTTTTCGTGAAACACAAGAACCGCATCAAAGATTGCTCCCTAAATATAAATCAATCAGGAGCAGGACAGCGAAAACGCGTGCAAAAACAGACCAGCTCTCAACTGGCCTTGTCTGCTTTCTAAGTCCACGCACGTTAATAAAGTCGGTGCGGCGGTCTTCTATTGTTCACTTCCATTGTTTTTTTAATTCTGGACGACCGGGCTGTTGCTTCGTCAATTACTTTTCCGTCTGCTTATCATCAAACGATGCTTCTTTCTAAGACTAAGGTTTATTGTGATTCTTTATCGTTTTATAGTTTGTGGTCAGCCGTCATAATCATAAGTAGCGAGCAATCCAAACCCTCTGGTATGCTATACAAAACTTCTTCATTTGGAAAGGTTTGCCAGAATATAATAAAATAAACAAGCTATTTCATTTAAAATATATATGTTTGTGTTGCTACGTGGTTATCAATCAATCTACGGAGAACGGAGTATTTTCCATGTATTATAGTTGTCTATCTTTGGTGTAACTAACTTTTCTCACTATCATTTAAAATAACGGGGTTCTCGACCCAAAGGACAATAATATGATTAATAATAATGATAATAATAATAATGCTAATTACACAGAAATGTATTTGCACAGGTCAGACGATGTAGGATGATGATGGTAGGAGATATCAAAGTCTACAAAAGTGAAGTTAAAACCTAGATAGACAATACGATAGAGGTGATTAATAAACATTGCAAAAGAAGCTAGATACAGTTACAATAATTATGCCAGGCTAAAAAAGTTAAAATTAAGAGTTTGACTTTCAAAAAAGCTTCATATAGTAGAAAGCATTCCACAGTTTCGCCACATTATTCAACATCGAGACATTTTATTTTATTTGGTAATAGTATACAGAATTTTAACCCGTGGTAGTTGACACCATTTCTAGCTTTGATGTGTTGATGATGATTTGGATACCAATGACGTTTGCGGCAATTATGAGTACCTACCTTTATGAGTTATAAACTTGAGAGAGTGAGTTTTATCATGAATGATGCAAGCATAATTGTACAGTACAACCAAGGCAATTTCATGATTTTGAATTAAACGAGTTCATTCCAGTAAGTATCCATGTACCTTGAATTTGTTTTGTATCTACACATCTTCTCTGTTGTCCTAAAACTCTAGGCATTTGTGGTGAATGACCATATACCATAATGGCATACCGCATTCTACTAAGGAAGTATGCATGGTGACTGGTGAATAGAGCTTTCTGAGACACTGAATCTCTCAGATTAAGTATCAGATAAATAGCTTTTGTCGAAGATTACATGGTTTATTTACATGATCATCCCAGTTCAAGGAAGAGTCAATGTACACCCCCAGAAACTTAAATGTTTTTGCGCATCATTTTAGTCAAAATTTCGTTAACAACAAACCAGTTCTGAATGTCCCCCATTGCAAGCTGATGATTCATTGTTTAGGTTTTCTCAGAATGTCATCGGCATACAGCAGTAGATTTCCACTGGTACTGAGACAATTTTTTGTGTCATTGGTATATAACAAAAACAACAATGGTCCAAGCACAGATCATTGAGGAATCATTGTCAAATTAGTTAGATCGAAGCAATCAGCCTATATTCTTTGTATGGTAACTTTAAACGTAAAATATCAACGTCCAGCTTTCCAAAAATTAAATATCCCTTTTTAATTTGTTCTCACAAAACTTCATCAGCTAAACAAACTCGCCGAACCGTCCTTCTTAAAGAAGGAAAAAACAAGATTTCCTCCTTTTGAACACGGCAGGGCAGCTTTGCACCCTAACTTTCCACTCCTAACGAGGATTAAGTTATCGCAGATCTCCCGGTGAATTATTGTTACACTTTAAGCCCCGTGAAATGTGAGTAGATGTTTTGTGCCTTGTATTCGAAGATGCATTAGTTTTTCTGCCTTTGGAGACTGGGGATTTCTCCCCAAATTCGCTAAAAGGCGTTACGGTTGAAAGCAGGGCGATATCGAATAATGTTACTTTTTATCGGAATACGGAACAGATCGAAGAATGATGAAATTGTATACGAAGAAGATGAGTTGAATCAGGGTCCAAATAAGATTTCTAGTTCACAGAAAACTCTTTCAATAATCCTATATGATGCCCTTCTATGCGAACTCTCTTTGTGGTTATAGTCTGGTACCAAATCGGAAGCGAGTACATCGTACGCCACTGCAGTAGCATACGATATGTTATTGTAATGAAAACACCGTTCCCAAAGTCTGTTAATACTTTTACACTAATTTATAATACTTATACTATTTTTTATGACAATTGTGACTGGATTACCACAGTTCGCGTTGTTTGACTGTCTTGACTGGGACTAACCGCTTCCGCCATCTGGTCGGGTACTTATCCCCATATCGACGCGCCGAGAAATCTTCCAGCGTCTTCAAGTCGTGAACTTCCATGGAAGTACTGTAGATGGCAGCATGTGCCTCCAGACAGATCTCATGATCAGATGAAGTTCTATTTCGAGTATAGAGAAACTTTGCCGATACAGGCTGAACTTCTTTGCTGATCGTAAGATATCCGTCGTAGTTTGTAGGTTGTTTCATTATCTGATGTTATCGACGCAGGTATAGTGTTGCTATGTATAGTCGACCTGTTTTCGGAAGATTAGTAGTTTTCGGTAGACGCAAAACCTTGTCGGTGCTTGAAAAATGCAGAGGAGAGGGGGGGCACCGTGCTTGAGTTCTACTCTGTTCTGAAAATTGAAGAGCTGAGGGTCTCAGCAAATTCCACTAATCAAACATTGAAGAAAAGGGGGGGGGGGCGTCAAATGACTCTATTCTTGAATTTCGTTGAATTATATAAAAAATGCTTTTTAAGAACTTGAGACATTTTGCGGTGGGTTTCGCACTAAAATCGATAGTTCGGTAGAAGAGGACTAATATCTGAAGATCTACCGAAAAATTGGTAGACGCAGGAATCCCACAGGAATCAAATCTCTTTGGCGGCCCAGAGAAGGGCAACCCAAACTGATCAGGTACTCTTCCTTGTCAGGCACCCTAAACTATTTTCATATCGAGAGGTGGTGTCAATTTTGTCTATTGCTCATTCTAACTCACTGTACTGGCAGATGCTTCCGTCAATTTCTTCTTAGCCAGTTCAATACTCAAGTCATTGTTCGTTTATACGCAGCACTCACGGTACTGCAGTGTTTAGGATAGGCTTTCTTGGATACGAGATAAAGGAGAAACACCTTAATTTGGAGATTCATACAACCACAAATGCAATCAGAATAAATTCGTTATCATTTCAAGAGCAGAAGAGAATCCCACCAGCAATTATTCCAATGCAATGCAAAATTCACTGAGCATAACTAAACAAGAAAATTATGTATAATCGTATTCCGACTTTGTTTCAACTTAATCAACCGCGAATGCTGCTACGTTATCGCGATCGCCGCGTCAAGTTCAATGATCGAGGAGCTCGGCATTTTAATTCAATAGGAGATAAATCGGAACGGGAGGCTTATGGTTCGTCAAAATATACGGAATACCTAATACGAGTAGTAGCGTCATCTCGTGGTGTCTACATCCATCAACTATAGGCTATATCACTTTTATCTGTATTTGCTAAAATATTCGAGGAAGTATTCAAAGAATGGCTTGTTAGCTATCTAAAGAAAAACCACATACTGTCTAAGAAGCAATATGGATTTATATAAGGACGCACAAGATGCCATTAATTATTTAGTTTCTAAATTGTACCAAAAAAAATGGATGAAAATCTCAAAATAGTATGTGTATTCATATATTTGGCTATTGCCTTTGCCACAGTGCTGAAAAGTATAGGTCTCAGGGGATCACTAGTAAAGAGATACTTGTCCAAAAGATCCCAATATGTAATCGTTGATGAAGAGAATGTAGAGAAGTAGAGTTCAGAGTTCCTCAAGGTATGGTGCTTGGAGCTGTACTTTTCAACATATACTTGGCAGATGTCAGAGGAGGGAGATATACTTAGTTTTGCTGACAATGCTGCGGTTCTTTGTGACACCACTAGTTGTGGTGAAACAAAAATGTGGAACGAGATTTTTTTTATAAATCAACCAATAGTTTGATTGCCGGAAACTGACAGTTAAATTCACAAAACCTTCTATTCTTGCACCAACAGCTTGTCTACTTACAAAGCTTTAAATATAACAGTAGATACCACCAAATATGATATTGTATCGGTGCAAAGAATAAAGTGTCTTGGAATATATATTGAAGCTCAGATCAGATGGGGCGTCCACATTGAGTATATGATAAGAAAGTTGCGTACAATTCTAGATATCTCAGTATACTATAGGATATTCCACAGCTCCGTAGACAATGTTTAAGAAGCCAAAGCTATATTCAACATAGTTATTGTTCCAAGAAACAAATATTTTTGATGCTCGTCAACTATACTTATTCACGATTCTGGTAAACGATACTGGCATAAACAATATGAGAACAGTGAAGTTTAATTATGAAACAAGGAGAAAAATGTCGTAACAAATTTCAAAACCAAAAAAGTATGCTCCCTAAAGAACTACAACAAATACGCTCATTTGGATTACTTAAGAAGAAAGTAAAACAATGGATAATGACCTTATAAAGGTCTCATATACACCAAATTATTGATCGAAAAAATAATTGAAACACCAAAGTAACAAAAAAAGGCTATATTAGACAATATTCCCGAATATTTGTAACTTCTAC